CTACTTTGTTTAAATATTATTTTTTTCTTCTTTTTTTCAAAGGACTGATGATTTTCTTACTTTCTCTATTTTTGTTTTACAAAACATAAATCGATGGAAATAGCAAGCACAAACATCTTTCAATTGGTTAGGTGTTAAAAGCAGAAGTTCTGCATTAGTTATAGCTGTTGATTGGTGCCAACAAGCGTTATCTTTTTCCCAGGGAGCAGACATATGGGAATCCAATGTAGGGGAATTAGATCTCTTAAGAAAAAACTTAAGTTTAATTATCTTAACTTAATAAAACTTAATCTGTTTGCTGGGCAGCTAGCTAAGAACGACTTGTCTCATTTCCAGAGGTTAAATTCAATACCCTCAGTAACTGAAGAGAAGTTTCAGAATTATGAAGAGGGCTTGAAAAATCTGCATTTTGAGTTTGAATGAAGATTTCAGTGACATTAAAACAGAATTTGATATTTTTACTATGCCTTTCAACGTAAATTGTGAAGCAATGAGGTCAGATTTGCAGCTTTAATTCATGGAATTGCAATCTAACAATCATCTCATGCAGTTGTTTCTAAATATGCCAAAGTTAGAGTTTTACAAATCATTATCGAAAGTAAATTTCTCAAATTTAATATATAACGCCCAAAAAATCAGTGCTATGTTTGGTTCATCTTATATACGTGAATAAGTGCTTTCAACTATAAACCTTAGAAAGAAATATTTCAGAAGTAGACTGACAGATGAGCATTTAGCCTCTTTCCTTAGAATCAGTACATCTCACTTCGAACCTCAATATAAGGAACTTTAAAAAATGAAATCATAACTTCATTCATCTCATTAATATATTTAAATAATAATACTTGTATACTGTTTTTAAAATTTTAGAAAAATTTACCTTGGCCTGGCTAACTTTTTTTTTTTTTTTTTCGATTTCTGGCCTGCGACCGAAAAAGTTTGCCCATCCCTGGTCTAAGGAATTCAATGTTAGCAGAACCTTCAAGCATACAGTCAAATAAAAAGAAGTATTTAGAGCAGTAAACAGTGATATTAAGCATGATATCAGTATATGGCCATCCTGCTGTTCAGAAGCTACTAATCACACTTGGCAGTGTCACTTGTAACAGGGCATACATCATCATCATTAAACTGCAGATCAGAGAATACAATATTTTAATACACATATTTGGACCATATAAATGTCCAAAGAACTGCTGTTATAGAAGAACATTACATAGACAGTAAAGTTTAGAAATGATATCACAACACTTTGAGAAAGCATTAAAATTTATCAGCTAATAAAAATTGCCCAACTTCTTTCCACCTTGTGACAAAAGTACAGAGAAGACCCCTCCTTCAGCACAATCCTACTCATGCTCAGAAAGGAAGTCTTACAGCTTTGCAGATTGAAGACATTGACGTGGAAGAGGTCGGTTAGGAGAGCCGAAACACCAACCTTAATAACAATAAGCGTCTTTGCCATCAACTGAACTATCATTTGTTTATGCAGCCAGAAAATAAAAATTGTAAACTGATAAAATTTAGTTAATTGTACTCATAAAGAAATGGATTCAAATGTTGTTATGACTTGTTGAAAGTACTATCAGACCCAGTCTATGAACTTCATTGCAAGAAGGACGGCAGGTATGAGTCTGTCACTAACATGAGCCTTGGGCACTTTACAGGAAACGGTGCACACATCACTTTTAGTCCGTTATTAATCTTCTCTCCAATAAAAGCATTTGCTTTCCAAAACTGATTCACCATACAGTCTTTAACATGATGCAAAATAATGACATAATCTGAATTTACTTTTCATCATTCTTCTCAGATGCAACTTATATAGTATTTTAAACACCTCAAACACAAAACTTTATTTTAAATAAAGAAATTTGGTTTTCTTTCTGCGGGTATTATCTAAGAGAATTTGGTACTTTTTGATTATCCACATCCCTGAAAAGTATTCACAAGGCAATGCATTATGTCACTAAAACAGACAATGTGTGACATTATCAAAATGTTTTTATGTGGCACACACAGCAGAAAAATGCTGATTTCCACTTCAAATTTGACTCGGTGGTGTTTCTTTTTGCTGCACTGAGTACATTTTTTTTGTAAGGATTCATAATGGTACTGTAGAGTTTGCTCGCTGATGAAAAAGTACTGCATTTCCTCAGAATGCGGTATTTTATCTAATAGTAGACAATGCAAAAACTCACATTCCATACAGTTGTATTTTATAAACAATCGAACTTTATAAATAAAAACTTATGCAAGTTTCTAATTTTTTAAGCAAAAACAATAGAGTGCATAATGAAAAATTTATGCAATTCTGATATTTTTTAAAGCAAAAATAAAGCACTGGGTACACATCAAGAACAACACTGTATGCAGTGCCAAACTGTGTGTAATGTCGACTTTCTGCAATTCTCTGATATTTTTTTAAGTTAAAACAGATCATTTGGCATATGGTGGGGGACAAGAAGTTCATTGCTTTATTATAGATGTTTTAGTGTTTTTAATTTTGTTAATTCATTGCTGTTTTATCCAATTCTTATCTTCATTTTTGAAAATAGTTGTTAATGAAAAATTAGTCCTCAATGCATGGCAACTTTTATGAATGTGGTATATGCAATCAGAAAGCACCATTATTACACAAACAGATTGTCTTATTCTCAGTTGTTTCAACTGATAAGCATTATGGTACATCATGGGTGACCAAACTTCATGTCAGCAAAAGATATGTGATAGAATTCAGCAAAATTCAAGAGCCACAGCTAATTTCCAAAAGCTACAACTGTACTTATATATCTTTCTAAAAATAATAAAATAATATTTGGATATTAAGAACTGTTTAAACTGATGAGAATTTTTAATTTTTAACAATGCCTTAATAGTTTTTAATAAATATATTAAAATAAAAATACAAAACTTTAGTTGATGTCATTTTCTATTCCAGAAGATTTTTTATATTGTGTAATACTACACATTTCTATTTTATACAAAAATATAAATTCTTTGTTTAATATCCTGAACATTCCTTTTTCTTTTTCCTCAGATGGAAAACCAAGTATTTTTGTCTGATTCAGATTTTTTCCCCCTGATTACAACTGTCAAGAGATTTGAACTGATGTAAATTGAAAGTGAAAGAAAATGAAGAGATTTTTTACACTATTCTTTAAGAAGGCTTTTATTCAAATGAACAATAATGCAGCTATTTGAAGAATAGAGCTAGGAAATCTTTATTTATAACCTTATTTACTAGTCTAGAAAGAATAAAACAAGTGAAACAGAATGGCATGCACTATGAAGAATTTTTCAGATGCGAAAACCATTTGAAGTAAGCTCTCAACTTACCATGGTTTTCGGTAAATATAATAACTTAGAAGATTTTCTCCTAAGTTCATGAAGGCTAACACACAGAGATCAAAATTAGTCTTATAGTATATGATTTAATTCTTTTGAAGAGCATTAAATATCAGACATCTTGTTTTTTCTAACATTTGATTTGCTTTTGATTAAAATTTGATTTCCATGATCAGAACAGAATGTTGCCAATGTATCCGTCATTGCTACTGCCCTAGTAGCCTTTATGTTCTTAAACCAGCACTGCCATGACAGAAAGTCCCAAAATGGAATTATTAGCACTTTTTTCCTAATTTTGATGATTAGTGCTCGACGCTCAGTTTGAAATTGTTTAAAATTATTACGCATGTAATGCAACTTTAAAAAGCAAACTACTAACTAATAAAAATCTGCTTTTTCAAATTATATCTTAGAATTAAAACCAATCTTCATTTATGACTCAAGTCACAGTTTAGCCATGTCTACGGTATGTTATACTGTATACATTTGCAATAAACATTCTGATTTCTAGTTTTACCTGCAATTAAAGATCTATTAATTTCTAAGTTGTTTTAAAATAATTCCATGTAAATAAATAAACTACATTTTTCTTTTTCTAGATTAAGCTGATGTGGAATTCTTTAAGATCAACTTACATAATGACTAATAGCTCATTTTATAATCAACATTTGGAATGATATATTATTGAGATTTGACCGTTAATAACACCTGACTTTACAAAGTGAATAACATAAGCAGATCTAAAAAGTAAAAACTGCAAAAAGAAAAAGAAAAAAAAAAAAAAAAAAAATCAGCAACCTCTGCAATAAGTTTTCATTTCTCCTCTCCAATCATGTTCTGTCAATCTTCTTTTCACAAAGTCCTTCAATCTAAATTTCAGATTTAAAAATTAGTTTATGCAAATCAAAATTCACTCAAACAGTTATTATGAAGACATTTGTATGATTATTACTTGATCAATAAATATCATGCAGTCAGACATTTCCAATAAGTTTTATCATTTAAAATAATTTTCAGGAAATTAAAAAAAACCACCTATCTAAAGTGATGGCAAAACAGCCAAACATTATTTATATCTAATGAATAATGCAGTTCACAAACAAAACAGATGAAAAAAAGATTAAAAATGTTTGAATCCAATATGAGACTTGAACCTATAAAGTGATCAAGATTTTTTTTCTAATGAATGACTCATAGAGAAAAATTTATGGGAGATTAAGTTGAAAACAATGCTGAAGAAAAGAAAGCAGGCCAGCAAATTGTTTGGATTTTATTCCAAATGAAAATTTCTTAAGATGTCCCATAAAGAACTTTACTACTCTGGAAAAAACTGCAAGCTGTCCTTATACAAGAATAACAGTTACTGTCCTCTATAGCACTGGGATATCATAATAAAAAATTCACATCAGATTCACAAAGACCACATTCGGTGAGCCTATATTTAGGGGTGCTTCTTGGATTATCGCCAAGTTGTTGTTTCATTTATGGTAACCTGAGTAGTTGAATAATATGGAAACCCTACTGTGATGCAATTGGTTGAGTGATTGTGGTGAATGAGGGGAAAAGATTTGTAAGGGCTTATTGTGTGTGTTGGTTAGGAAGTTTGTTACTTGTTTTGTGGTTTAGACGGTAAAATGGCTGAATGTGGTGAGATTAATTTGAAGTTTTTGTACGATTTGGAACAAAAGGGAAAAAAAGCATTAATTGATTGGTGTGTAAATGAAAGATTTACTTAGTAGCCATTATAAGTGTCCTGTTTGTATGAAGGAAATGTGTATGGTGGAATGTAAAAATCATTCAGATCGCTTACAGAATAGGTTTGTCGAAAGAAAGGTTCAAATGGTCACCATATAAAGCGTTCCATTAGAAAGGGAACATGATTTGAAAAAAGTTTTTACATGCTGTTAAAGAATTTTGTGAGCCATAGAAATTTCTAAATAAGGTAAGGTTATTTCCTTTGTGTAGTGTGTAGTGCTTTTTTATGTTATTTCATTGTTTGATTTAAAATACAGTTTATTGAGATTACATATTTGGCTCTAGTGTAGAACTAGTGTAGAATTGGGTGCTCCTTCGATTTTTAAGTGAAAATAGATCGACGTGTACATGCTAATCCTATATATATATACTTTTATTATATATGTATTATATAAAATAAAGAAAATACATATTTTCTAGTAAAATTTAGTGGCAGAATTTCACAAATTAAACCTAATTTATTGTTGAGTGTGGTTAAAATTCACGGTACCCCTTTACGAATCATCTCTTTTTTGACCACCAGGAAGGATTGTCACCAATTTCAAGATGGTGTCGATTCTTCCGCTCACTACACAAAAGCAAAACAAGAAGTCAAAGACTTGCACAAACTCAGTGTCCATGTATACATCGACCTATTTTAACTTAGATCAGAGCATTGCACACTGCCTTAACTTTGTCCATGTACATATCAACCTACTTTAAAAAAATCAGAGAATTGCACAAACTAGGCATTGTGCACTGTCTTAACTTTGTCCATGTACATATCGATCTATTTTCCCTTAAACAAAATCAGGAAGCTAAAACAAAGTTAAAACTATCATGTTAACCAGAAAAAATTCGCCTCTGTCTTAATACAGAGACAAACAAATAACCAAAAATCCACACACAAAGAGTAATAAATAACCAAAAATACATGTTTCCTAACAAAAAAACATTAAACAACAAATTTTTTTAACAAAAATTAACACACAGATATAAATAAATAAATGAAATGTCAATTTTTTTAATTTACCTTTTTTTTCAAGTGCATACGTTCACGCTTCCCATCACCATATCCTCAATGTAAGCAATTCAATTAAATTTTTGGTCACTTCAGCTCATCTGCTGTTAATCAACATTTATCTTCTTACCCACCTCAGACATACTCAAATGATGGTGTACCCAGAGTAAAATAATAGCCAGTTCAAAATTCAAGACCATACCACGCACGTGCAAACAAACACAGCAACTGAAAAACAAACCCGGGTCCATACAAAAGGGTTACTATTACAAAAAATAGCCAAAATCTAAATTTATCACAACACGTTTGGTGATGTTCACAGAAATAACCCCTTTTTAATGACTAAAACTAAAAAAAAAAAAAAAAATTCCTCAAGGCTAGTTTTGTGAACATTATCAACATTCGGGTTACCGAGAAAGAGAAACCTATTTTACGCAGCGGGCTTCCAGATTTCACGAACAACCAATATCACTTGGCGATTTTTTCTGACAGAAACCAAGGGGTACCATACAGTAAAGATCAGCCATTGTGAACTTTCTAGACAATACTGTAACATTTTATCTGAAGAATAAATTAAATATCAATTCATTTACAACACATCTGGATCTATATCAGACTTCCTAAAATTAATTCAACTGATAAGCTTCCTTTTTAATTTTATAAGATATTTTGAATACAAGGTAAAATATCAAGCATATACTACTAATATTGTCACCTTCATTTGGTAACATTGTCAGTATGTTAATAAATATGTTCTGCAGTTGCATAGATAAAGGGAAGCAGAGGAGGCCCTGGGTTGCATTTTTTAAGTCAAACACCATTTTATAGGATTTAGTCAGGTGAATCGTCATGCCAGGTGAAGAATAATAAGATTCTAAATGCTCTAAGGAATCAAACTGGGAAGAAAAAGATAAAGTATTCAAGGAAATAACGTAATTTCAATCACTACACGCTTCTATTATACCTTCTTTAGGTAAAATCCTAGGAGAGCCCACACCCTTGGTGTCGCATGTTTCTTAAAATCACCAACTTGAAAATAACAAGTCAAAGAATTGCACAAACTCGGTATCCATGTACACATCGACCTATTTTCACTTAAAAAAACATCAGAGAATTGCCCAACTTAGCACTGCACACTCCCTTGACTTTGTCCATGAACACATTTATACATGCCATAACCGAAATCATTCGTGCCAAAGGTGTGGGCTCTGCTAGGATCCAACATCTTCTTTATTCCATTTAAATTTGTTCATGCAAATTATGAATATCAACTAATGGTTAGAGTAGACTTTAAGGTACTCCTTATATTATGGCCAAGTTGTCTCATTTATGGTAGCCTGAGAAGTTGAATGTTATGGAAACCCTATTGTGACGTAATTGGGTGCATGATTCTGGGAAATTTTGAACCATGGGATGTTTTGTAAGTGCTTTTGTGGTGTGTGTGTTGGTTTTATTGTTTAGACGGTAGAATGGCTAAATGTAGTAACATTAATTTGAAGTTTTTGTATGATTTGGAATGAAAGGGGAAAAGAGCATTAATTGACATTAATCAAAGGTTTACTTAGTAGCCATTATAAGTGTCCTGTATGCAGGAAGGATATGCGTCTGGTCGAATATAAAAACCATTTAGATGGGTTTGTATGAAGAAAGGTTCAAATGTGGTAACGCCGATATATGGATTCGAGTTCAGATAATTTTAGAAAGTTTTTGGATGCTATTAAGGAATTTGTGTGCCACAAACTAAAGATGAAGGAACTTCTAAATAGGGTAAAAGGATATTTGCTTTTTGTAGTGCTTATGTCTAACATGTTTTTCCTTTTATATGTTATTTTATTGTTTGGTTTAATATGTAGTTTATTGAGATTATGTATTTTTTGTTTGCCTGTATAGTAGAATTGGGTACTCCTTTGACTTTTTGTTAAGTGAAAATAGATCGATGTGTACATGGATACAGAGTTTGTGCATTTTTTTGTGTTGTTATTTTGGCTTTGTATAGTGATAATTTTTGAATATGAATGAAGAATGTGAATGAAGAACAAAAATTGCCATTATGCAAGCAAAAATAATAAGTCAAAGAATTGCACAAACTCGGTATCTATGTACTGCCAAAAATTGCCAAGTTTCACCAAAGGGTACCCTAAAATATACTTTTACCCAACTAACTTATGATAATGGTGACATTTATAAGGTTATTAAGAGACATGTTATATTTCCATTTTTATTACAGAGTTATATTTCCATTATTGCTATGGAAACCGAAACACAGAAGAGCAGTCCTATTGAATTTTTGCAGTTAATTCTAAAATACAGTTTCCAGTAAAAAAATTCCAAATATTCTAATATTACAATTGCAGTAAGTGTTGATGATCGTGAGAAGCATTTTCTAAATAAAAACCATTTAAGAAATACAAGCATCTATTTTGCATTCAAAAAAATCTTTCTCTACCATCTACACAACAACAACAGTAATCAACCAGATCATTGGTTTCAAGGCATTTTGTGGTTCAATGGTCAAGTATAAAAATAAAATAATAACATAATTTTAAAATGTTGGAAATTAATGTTTGTCTTCAAAAATAAAATAAGTTTTAATTTACTTCCCTATATCTTGTTTTAACATTTTTTTATAGTTATTTGCTTGTACATCAAGAATGGCAGGAAATTCAGAGACTGCTTGTTCTAGCTACGCCACTGACATTTTGGAAGCTATAAAAATTCGAACAGAAAAAATTCATTTACATCCCACATACTTTGATAGTTTTGCATTTTACTTTCCTCACAGAAAAATTTATAAAACTGTTAATTAAAAAATATTCATTACAGCTTTATATTATGGATTATACTTTAAAAATATCCAAACATGGAAAATTCAGTTTACTAAAATTCTCATTAAGTAAATTCAGGAAACTATAACTTCTTCAGACATTCCTTAATTAACCATTTAAATCTGATTAAAAATAACATCCTCTGATTAAGCAATAACAGGCTGCATTATTTTATGGATATAATTTTTAAAGGTTCAGAGGAATCAGTGATAAGTAAAATATAACTATTAAATAATAATAAATTAAACTTTCAGAATTTATGAATGGAATAAAGAAAGATCTAATCTGATTCCAAAAGTTTGTAAAATACATCAAAACTGTTGAATCTGAAAATTTATTATCATTACCTGCATATCTCACCAGTCTCCACTAAATAAGTTCTAATGTCTTCTCTCATATTTTGAGTCAGGAAACTAAGAGTAAAATAAATAGATATACATTAGCTAAATTTTAACATAATAATGCAATTTCATCACAGAAAACGTTAATAATTCAAGTTTCACAGGATAAAATAATCTGGTACTTTTCTCCTGCATTTAATTTCTCAACACAGATTTTGTTTAAAAAAATGTAAAAGTTACCAGGAAAACATATAGTTTACATTTTAATAGTGTAAAAATTTAAAGACATATATATCAAGTCAGTACAGAGTTTTAACTACCAGTTAGTTTGTTATAAAATTAAAAAAAAAAAAAAAAACTCTCCGGTTTTATTTAAAAAAATCATATTTCTATTAAATCAGTTATAGAGCTGATATTCTCAAATGCCGGTACACTTGTATATTACAAGAACATTTTTAATACTTCAAATTCAAACATTTCATTACCTAAGCTCATACGTAATACAATAAATTGTTACTTCCGAACTTTGTTAGTTTTACCGATCACTTTACAACAGCTGTTGGCACTTTTCCCATCACTTAGGGAAGAAACTTGAAAGATTTATGTTCCTCAATGATCTTTCGGAATGAAGGATAGCATAAGATGCTAAAGATCGCACCGGATCCTAAGCTAAGGTAACCAATGAGAAAGGACTCGGATTTAGTGTTAGTTGGCTATTGCTAGAGCTACTAGAGATACCTTTATAGTAGCTTTAGCCATTAAAGCTCTCTGACACTTTCAGCATTCAAAAGGCCGTCCGATCGTGGTAGCTTTTCTTCGTTGTTCGTAAACGCTATAAATATGCTTTTAGTAGGTAATTAAAAATTATTTTCATAACCTATAATCAATCATGTAATTATACATATCTTGAAAGCCAGTTAACTATGGGAAGAGAATTATATAGAGAGTGAGACAGTTGAATGTCTACGGAAGAAGCAAAATACAGAATTCTTCTGAAATGAGTAATTACGCTGAGATATGCTAACAATACCTCTAAGTGTCGCTATTTATTATACAACAAGTTAACGTAATTAATAGTATAGCTCATTTATAATTTTTATAAAAATTTTCAGCTATACTTGGATGTTCCTTATATTTGTTTCTAATGTTCCTTCTATTTAAATTACATTTTCTAACCTCAAGCTCCACTTTTTCAAAATTATTTAATTTTGGTTCTGTTATTATAGAAGACCTCAAAACTATGAAGAAGCAAACTTCGCCTATAGACAAAATAAGTGCAATTGTGGACATTCTTGACAAAATTAGTAATTGCCTTTAACATGTTCCGCAGTATTAATCTGCGAAGCATCAAAATTTTTTCATGAAATGATAATGGCCTTTTTAACAAAAAAGATGAATTTGGGTATCTTCTTCTGTAACTGGAACCTGATGTAATTCTTATACAGGAAACGCGTTTGAAACCTGCGCTAAAAGTGCTTTACGCAAATTATTCTATTTACCGTACGTATCGAGAAACCGGACGCGGAGATGCATCCAACACCAACTCAAACAAAATTTTTCTACCTCTTTTGAAAGCAATACTATCGAAACTCAAATTGAGCACAAAAAATTCATTATCTCTAAAATCTATATACCTCCTAATAATAGTCCAATCATTTCTGAAATTGAACAGCTACTGGATTTTAACTCTCCTGCTTTAATTGGAGGAGATTTTAACGCTAAGCATCAATACTGGAATCAAGAAGCTAGTAATAGGAAAGGACGAGAAATTTTTAGCATGATTAAGAATAAAAATTATACCATTCATGCCTCTGATGAACCTACGCATTACGGCTATAATAGTCTTTATATTATTGATTTTTTTTCTATCTTACAACCTCGACTATAATTGCCAAATTTCTGTTATTTCAGCTCTCACATCTGACCATAATCCCATTCTTCTTAAAATCAGCATAAATAGTTACTTACCTTCACTGGGCAGGAGTATTAGCGTTACGGACTGGAAAAAATTCTCAAAAATTATTCAGATATCATTCTTGGAAATCCCTGGAAATAATTCAAAATTATCAATGAAGACGATATTGAGTCTGATATCAAGAAGTTTACCACTTGTATTATCAGTTTTTCAACCAATAAATTCATCAGTTCCCATCCTTTTCTTCCTCTTCTAGCCAACATAAGACAAAAAATCAAATTCAAAAATCGTATTAGGAAAACTTGGCAAAATACAAGAGACCCAAGGCTCAAAACGCAACTGAATGCTCTTCAACGTGACATCAAAAAGGATATTAGCAACTTCAAGACGCAACGCTGGCGAAACTTCCTCAACTCTTTCGCAACTGAAGATAATTCTCGTTTTGACACTGCAAAGAAGTTTAAGAAACCCTTCAAGTAAATTCCGACACTGCCACTGCATGGTACCAACGGAATGATTTATTCAGACGAAGATAAAGCTAACACCTTTGCAGATATACTAGAAGAAACGTTTACTCCCAATACTCCCTACTATATTATTATGAGGGTACACTTTTTAGATTTTAGAAACTATTTATTTACAATCTAGAATGTATAATCACAGAGAACTGCAATACCAGCATAGTTCTATTTTTCAAATCTGTATTCAAAAGTGTTGACAATTACAAGTTACTAAAGATTAAATGTTACCATTTACAAATTATTAAATATTTACACCTACGACAACAATCATATCTCCAAAGTTAATGATACTGTTAATACCTTCTTAAAAATCCCAGATTCTTTGAACTTTACATTCCTTGCCACGCCTAAGCTGGTTGCCGATTATATTAGCTCTTTAAAACCCAAAAACCTCCAAGTGCTGATGGTATTTCTACCAAAGCGTTGAAACATTGGGTTGCATTGGTTTATTATTTTGTTATGCTGCTTCACGCCATTTTTTGCAGCATATATACCTGAATTTCATGAATGACATCTGTGAAGGCAAATGTGTTAGGATGGGGAATGGTAAAAATTCGTTCTGAATTTTGAATTAAATGCTTCACATACATATGTTTTTTTACCATGAAATATCAGCGCAAGCTCAAAAAAAAATTTGGGAAAAAATTTCTTGCATTTAACTCTTGTATTTATTACCGTTATTCAAGTAATTAGCTTTCTTATTAAATATTTTTTGCTTGTTCTCGTGATTTGCAATTATATATCTCTATGTTTCTTTTCCTGTTGGCTGCTATTAACTTCGAAAACTAAAACTAAATGTAACCCTTAGTTTTTGAAAGGGGTGTCTTGTGAGACGGAGAGTGTGAAGACCCCTGTAGTGTCTAAAGGGAGACGAAAACTTCTTTCGCTTTATGAGGTCATTAGGTCCTTAAGCTAATGGTTTAATTCGCTCAGTTGGGTTACCCCCCGCTTGCTCCTCAAGAGACTTTTATTTTGTTTACCTTAAGGTCTCTTCGTCTTTTGCATTGTTCTTTTTTAAATTTTCTTAAATATTTGGAGGATATGTTATTTCTTGTATTTGTATCTATACATTAAATTTTTGTTTTTAAAATTTGTTTTATTAGCTTGTATCGGTCACAAAAGTATTCGAACACCGGTACCCTATCAGAAAATGACAAGATGGCGTTTTTTTTTCTCTTTCTCTCTGTGTGTCGTGTTATTCCATCCTAGGTTTTCTTCTCCCCCCCCATCTTGGAAAAAACTGGAAAAAATTGGTTACGATCTCTTTTTGAATGGGGAGATGCCATTTTGAGAAAAAGCTGACGACCCTATCTTGGAGAATGAACATGACCGCTCTACACACCCTTTCACTCTCTCTCTCTCTCTTTGAATTGGGAAGCCATTTTGGGAAAAAGCAGACGACCCTATCTTGGAGAATGGAAATGAACGCCTCTCTCCCTCTCTCTTTGAAATGGGAAGCCATTTTGGGACCCTCTATTCTTGGGGAGGGAGAAAACTGAAGTCTGCATTTCGCTGTCTCTGAATGCGGAAAGCCCTTTTGGGAAAAGCGGACCCTCTTCTTCTGATCTTGGAGAACTGGAAATGAACGCTCTACACGATCTCTCTTTGAATTCAGAAGGTATTTTGGGACCTTCTAATGTTGGAAAACTGAAATGAACGCTCTACGCTTTTTCTCTCTCTCTCTCTCTTTGAGATGAGTAGCCATTTTGGAGGATTCTCCACCACCATCCTAACCTTGGAAAACTGAAATGAACGCTCTACACCTTCTCTCTCTCTCTCTCTCTCTTTCTCTGAAATGGGTAGCCATTTGAAAACTCCCTAACTTTGGAAAAAAACAGAAATGAACGCTCTACACACCATCTCTCTTTGAAAATGGGGGGTGTCATTTTGAGACCTCCCTCCCCTAAACTTGAAAAAAAAACTGAAATGAACGCTCTACACTTTCTCTCTTTGGACATGGGTAGCCCTTTGGGGACCCTCTCCTCTTGGTAGGAAAAAAAAAGAACTGAAGTGAAGGCTCTACACAATCTCTCTTGGAATGGGATCCATATTTCGGGAAACGTGGATCACCTCATGCTGGAAAACTGAAGTGAACCACCAAGATTGGACTCTATATAATATTTTTTTTAATTGACATCATGACCCTCCTCCAATTTGTTATTAAAAAAATTTTTTTTTTGTTTTGGTTTTTATCCCATTTCCGATGTGATTTCAGAAATGCAATTCCATAACAGTTCAATTTCATTCGAGGTTAAATGATCTAAACAGTCTTTGACCCACCCATCCGTATGATTATTTTCTTTTCTTCTCCTTCCTGTTGCACCAAATTTTGTAAGTCCATATAATCATTCCATACGGGAAGGGCTGGATCCTCACAAGGCTGTCTTGAAACACTTGGAGTCTCTTTGGGATGAGTGGAGGGATCTAGGATGTCTGGACCCGGCTGCGATTCTACCTCCATGATTTCTGGACCCGTTGGAACTTGTTTACCCGGCTGAAATTCTACCTCCATGATTTCTGGACCCGTTGGAACTTGTGAACCCGGCTGACATTCTACCTCTACGATGTCGGGACTTTTTGAAGCTTGTGGACCCGTCTGACATTCTACCTCTACGATGTCGGGACAGGTTAGAGAAGAAGAAGAAGAGGATACTGGAAGAGGTTCTGTCTGTGAGGAGTCCGAAAGAGGTTGCCTGTTTGAACAAGTCGGGGAAGAAGAAGAAGAAGCTTCTGGATTCTGAAGCGGATCTTGCACGCCAGGTAGGTTCCGGTAAGTCGACCGTTTTTTAAGAGGTAATTTTTTTTCTTCCTCCTCATCTTCAATTGTGATGACTTCAATTTCATTCCGTTGCCGGGTCGATTTTGTTTCGGGCCATGACGGTTTGGTCCAGCTCCTCTTATCATCTAAGGAAGGGATGGGTAAAGGTGGCGGAGGGTTTTCTTCTTCTTTTTCTTGAAACATCATCGGCGATTGGAAAGAAATCTCCTCTTTCAATTGTTTCCAAAGCGAGTACGAGCACCGATCGACGAGAAAGAGACTCTTCTGGGTTGTGACGATGAGATATTGCGTTTTCGGGGGAACGACATAGTTTTGAAAAGGTCTTAGAATATATTTCTTATATTTCATCCTGTCGCTGACTTTAAAACTTCTTTCCTTCAGATTGGGGGACGATGATTCGTAATAGGCGAGAGGAGCGGCTGTGGTTTGAACAATATGAACTTCGTCCTCAGCCGTCGTTCTCACTCCAAACGTAAAATATCGTTTCGTGAGAAAAATATTCTTCCACCGAAAACT